TCATTATCTGATAGCGGCAGGACAGAGGCGCGCAAAGCTCGGATAATGTGTTCACCGTTAAGATTCATAGAGGCCAACATACCAGCCACACCAGCTACATGAGGGGCCGCCATAGACGAACCAGACATGTAGACGTAGTTACTAAGTGGTACGGTTGAGAACACTCCGATGCCTGGAGCAGTCATATCCACATAGGGGCCATAATTTGCCTTTTTAGCAAGCGTATATTTATCGGGTGCATCCAAGTTCGTGTGAGTAACGCAGACAGATGTTGGTATGAGTCGGCTTAGCGTGCAGGGGTATTTACTGGTGTCGATATTCTGCCCGTCGTTCCCAGCTGCAAAGATCATAACATGTCCAGTTGCCCCTGCGTTTTTGTAAGCCTCTTCCAATATGGCTGCACCAGTATCAGCCATATAAGAATGTGAAGACACTTGAGCACCGTGCTCCAGGGCAAACTCGAAGGCTCGGAAAGCTAGCAGTATGTTACAGCTACCGGTATCATCACATATCTTGAGTGCCATCAACCTCGCTTGTGCGATTCCACTGATCCCAAGACCATTATTGCGTTGGGCGGCGATAGTGCCAGCGCAATGCGTACCATGACTGTGACCGTCCGAGACATCAGTCGATCCTTCGACAAAGTTGTAGCCATGGGAACCATCTGGACCCGTCCACAGGATATCGCGGAGATCTTCATGTTTATCATCAACACCAGAATCGAATACAGCAATAATTATATCTTCGCTCCGTGAAGCCTTGCCCGAGGCCTCGACGAGCTTCCAGGCTTCGGGGACTTCCATTTCCACCAGACCTTTCTGTAGTTGTGCATATGGGTCATCAGCACCATCCAAGACTTCCATCGTAACTCTACCGACTCTCTCAATCTCAGTGCTCTCGAGTGTCACAGAGAAATTAGGCTCGCAAATGATGTTGAGATCCAGAGCATCACCAGCAGCGGCAGTGTATTCGCAGACTTCTGAGGGGGTCAGACCACAGACCTCGGTGAGAACGGCTTGAATACGGATATGGCTCATTGTGTCTACGGCTGAGTTGAGGGAAAGACAATCTTCCACCCTGGACGATCCAAGTCGACGGCTATGTCCTGTGCGAGATAGCATAGCCGGTATATCTCGCACATCAACATTATCGGCTCCAGCAGATGACTCGGCGCTTGTGATGATAGCATTCTGACGTCTGGTGATGCTTAGAAGAGCAGCCTCTGTTGGACCGCTTCCAGCGACCAGCATGCTAGATATAAAGGAAGTGCTCACGAGACGGTAGAGGAGTTGCATCGATAATGAGTCGAAATTGTTGACTCTGAAACGCGCACGGCAGTCCGAGAACTCCAGACTCGGACGACCCATAGTAAGCTGATTCGCTTTGAAAATGATCTCATCCTGATTAAGACTAACACAGGCTGAATGAATAACTGAAACCGTAAATGCCCAGTGCCTAGACATCTTAATGTTTAGATGAAGCCTTAGTTATGAAGTCGGAGGCGAAGTCGACAATCTGTCCTGTTCTTTCCGTGCTGTTCTCCAAATCGAAATGGCCAGCGCCATCGATAAGACGATACTCTGCTGAGGGGCCGAGCTTGTGGACATACGAAGCTAACTGTGACACTCCCGTCCAGCAGTCCTCTGTGCCTGAAGCCGACGAGAAAATGACGATCGTCCATGTGGTGCAGATGGTGATACCCATGATGAAGAGCTTTGGACCAGTAAACTTTTCCAGTTTAGAAACGTGACTCCCGAATAACATTCGCGCCATGTAACCGAAAGTGTAGCCAATGCAAACAAGCGCCACACAGTTGTCGACCAGCGAAGCCGCACTGCCTGCTATTGCAGCACCCGCAGATGACCCGAGCAAGATAATCTGATGAGCAAGGCGTAAAGTGGCAAATCACTTTCCCACCAATCACACCTGCGCGGTATCATCCTTGGGGACAAGGTTCACTCCGACGTAGTTGGCCATGGCCACCACGTCCTTGACTTCATCCGACCCTGTGAAGGTGCTTGAGCCAGTGGAACGGCCAATCCCGCGCATGTCGAAAGTGATACAGTTGAATCCCTCTCTAAAATGAAATCAATAAACTAGAGCTGGTCACAGCAGAAGACGGTACCGTTCAGAGAGCATCTTAGCTAGCGAGGCCATGTTTGCTTGCGAACCACCCATTTTCCCCACGGATGCACGAGTATGATGAAGACACTCTCCCTACCTGATAAGCGGAGTACTTGCACGCGGACTTGGCACCGATGATTACCTTCAGCGTGTGATCGCGGAGCCCAGATGGTTCCTGCTAACTCACAGCCATCTGCTGTGTTCACAGTAATCGATGTCCGCTGGACGGGTGTATAATCAACAGTTTTATTAGTAGAAACAACCTCTCGTGAAGCCTCAGTCATAGTATTGAGGTATACTACAGCAGAGAATAATCAGGCAATCTAGAGGGACAGCTGTGGACGGAATGATGATCAACGCTCTTAGGCTTCCGACTTGCAGAACGACGTACTGTTAACAACACTCAGTTCGTAGTTGCTGCAACTCAAATATTCGGAAATGCACGCATGCACATCAAAAAACTCAACCGATGCAACGCTTGAACCATGATGATGTTGGATATTGACGGTGTGGACTATAAGTAATCCTGAATTATGGCGTCTCAAATTGAACTACGGTTCCCGACAGAAATTAGCTTTCGAAAATGTAGCGCACTTTGTGCCGGTCTGTCTCCGTGAGAAGTGGCTGTGGAACCATAGATACTCTTGGGTTATCCTGAATCCATGGGAGGAGCAACTGATCACGAGAGATCTATACTTGAACTCTCCAGTCAAGTGAGTCGAACTACACCTTTTAAACATGTAGTTCGCCCTAAAACCATCAATTCCGTCGGGACACGCGAACATAGAGGTACGAATCCAAACGGAAAGATTATATACGCTTTTAGAGCTTTCAAATTCGTCATAGAACGGTTCTACTAGAACATTCAAGTTCATCCGAGGCCTATAGGGAGTTCAAGTTCGGGGTAATAGGACGTTCGATTTCGAGTCTCGGGAGTCCAGATTCTGGATGCCGAACGTCACGAAGACCTTCCCGGTAGGAGTTTTCAATCAAAACGAATTGTCATCGAAAATTCTTGGTTCTCATCATAGGAATGTGCTCTCATGAAATGCAGCACAATTGCTCTGATATCTGATATCGGAGAATTATATCGAGAATATCGGCCCGATATGATATCGGATATCATATCGGGCCGATATTCCCGGCGATAAGCCTCAATTCCCCAGTTCTTGAGCGATGCCTCAGTAAGAAGTGATGCCCTTCACAGTTGTGAACTGTCCGTTATTGACGAAAATCTCAACCCATGTAAATATGGACTAGTGGTATTCCTTGGAAGTGTGATGGGTTACGGGTTAGTGATAAGTGTGAATGAATGGACACAATGCTAGAAAGCAGAATGTCCGGTTATAATAACAAACAAGAGTCCAACGCTCCACAAACAAACCGAAGATGAGAGTCTTGCGCTTGATGGCTGCCTTGGAGGGGTGGTCGGCTGACCAAGGCCTTCATTGACTGCGTTCAACGCATCCAATTCCCCTAAATTTTGCAAAGAGAGCGCATTTCTAAGACTAGCAGTTCGAGACCGTGTTATAGAGTCAGTGATGCTCTGCCCTGCCAAGCCCAATGTGGCAAGCACGGCCGCAACACCCGCAACTTGAGGCGTAGCCATCGATGTACCACTGAGAAAAGCGTACGAGCCCGAGAGGTACGTCGAAAGGATATTCACGCCAGGGGCGACAATATTAACCACAGAACCGATGTTCGAGAAGGAGGCGAGAGATACAGGCGAGGTCGGTGTCGAAGAACTCGCGCCAACACAGAGCATAGAAGGAATCGACCTTGAGTACGAGCAAGGATAGGTTGGGGTCTCGTCCAGGTTCATTCCTTCATTCCCAGAAGCAGCAACCACAATATGGCCAGCGTTAGCAGCATTCCGGATTGCATTTTCGAAGATCCGGCTTGGCACATTACCGCCATACGAATGTGAGGACACTGCAGCACCCATCCCGACTGCATAATCGAGAGCCTTCAATGCGCCACTGAGAGGACCTGTCCTATCACTACCTACAAATTTCAGGATCATGAGTTTCACGTCTGCAACACCAGCGATACCAAGGCTGTTATTAGTCTGAGCGCCAGCTATTCCAGCACAGTGAGTGCCGTGGCCGTTCTCATCAGTAACGTTGGTATTATCATCCAGGAAGTTGAACCCGATAGAACCATCGTCTGGATTTTTCCAGAACTGATTGATCAGATCCGGATGGGATACATCAACTCCGCTGTCCACGATTGCCAATACGACGTTTCGCAAGCCTCGGCTGACTGAGCGAACTGCTTCCTGAGCACCTCTGAATCTAATGATCTCGAGGTTACCCTGACACGAAGAGCCGGGGTCATTGGTGCCGAGAAGAGGATTACCGCCGGTACAACGGGCTACTTGTCCTTCTGCAACTGTGCTCCTCCCGGCGAGAGGGGCAATAGAAACGTCAAAGTCGGGCTCACAGTCCACCTCAATGCCGAGCATGCCCTTGGCCTTCAGCAGATAATCCTTCATCTGCCTGGGACTCGCTTCGCACTTCGAATCCACAATCTGGACTCCTAGGGCCGACAGGTCGCGGACCAGACCGTCCTGTGCAAGGCATCGTTCACACCGACTGTCACCTTCGCTGAGGAAGCGTGTCCTCCCATCAGTGGCAGCGACGGCTTGCGCCATCATCTTCGGTACATGACGAACATCAAGAGGGACTCCACGATGAGATATCATAACAAGCGTGTGATTCGTCGTGCTCTCACCGGAGGATAGGAGATACAAAAAGAATAATAGGGATTCCAAGAACATAGCAACCATATTTTGTGGTAACAAAACTAAGAACAGAGTATAAGAGAGCCTTCAACCGAGTATCGTGCTGACGAATTTGTCAAACGTATCCGGTGAACCAAGCAGGACTGTGCGCATGCGTGCAACTATACACGCATAGTCATATTGTGGTAGGAGGATCTGCCCACTCCTGTTGGCCAGTCTGTTAGCTGCATTGTATCGATTGCTCGCTATATGTAAATCGACTCCGTTCGGCGGCCGAACTTCGGCCATTGTCAGCTACCTTTTTGTTGTCGTCCGCCTGTGCGGCCCTGCCTGTGCGGAATAGACAGTATAAGGCGAGCGCGAGAGCCTTATCCGTAGCTAACGTGTGCATGCGTCAAACGATCGATTGCATTCAAGAATCTTTCGAGGGATTCTTTTGAGGATAACTGTTGGCACCCCTGCCAACCTTGTCGACCGCAGCTAAGTATTATCTTATACCCGTATCTACCCTTGGGATTGTGTTGCCAGAGTCACTAGCATCGACTACCTATAGTATCAATCGACGACCCGATCACGACTTCGAGTAGATCCGTCCACAATATGCAGTGGTCAGAATCTGCAGACGAACATTCTATAGTGAGTCATCGTTATCGGGCTCAATTTGAGTCGCTCAAGCGTCTTCTGAACTTACAGCTACAGAGAGCAACCGTCTATTGCACTTGGAAATTCCCAGGGGGAATGACGCTGCTTGATATTTCGCTATCTCGTCAATAGGGCCCCCTCACGAAGTTCCTTGCAAGAAGTGACTGGGATATGCAATCGTGCCGATGTCACCGAAGTGGGGGGAGGATCTGTCCGCGCATTTCCAAATTTCGGCGAATCCAAATTCGAGCGAACCCGGATCGCGCATGATCCTAACCATGAGATCGCTACCTTCATTAACCTGGATAGACGAGATATCTCGTCTTTTCCCGTGATTCCGAATGCGAAGAAAATGAGAAGATCATTAGGTTCTACATTCCAGTCGTGATAGTATAGTATACTAAGTATACTATTGCATGTGATCAGCTCACGGTGAGCTGTACATCTTCCTTCTACCGGAAAGTCATTCATCATCAATGATGATTCAATATAGTCGTCGTCAAAACAGTGTGTGTGGAGAACCTGCTTTCCCTATCTAATACGGTCGTCGATATTGTGTTATAGTGTGCAAGTGGGTAAAGATATTGAATGGTAGTGAATGCTCTCGAATGTCACAGAGAAATTAGGCTCGCAAATGACGTTGAGATGTTGAGATTCAGAGCATCACCAGCAGCAGCTGTGTATTCGCAGACTTCTGGGGGGGGCGGGGGGGGTCAGACCACAGATCTCGGTGAGAACGGCTTGAATACGGATATGGCTCATTGTGTCTACGGCCGAGCTGAGGGAAAGACAATCTTCCACCCTGGACGATCCAAGTCGACGGCTATGTCCTGTGCGAGATAGCATAGCCGGTATATCTCGCACATCAACATTATCGGCTCCAGCCGATGACTCGGCGCTTGTGACGATAGCATTCTGACGTCTGGTGATGCTTAGAAGAGCAGCCTCTGTTGGACCGCTTCCAGCGACCAGCATGCTAGATATATAGGAAGTGCTCACGAGACGGTAGAGGAGTTGCATCGATAATGAGTCGAAATTGATGACTCTGAAACGCGCACGGCAGTCCGAGAACTCCAGACTCGGACGACCATAGTAAGCTGATTCGCTTTGAAAATGATCTTCTCCCGATTAAGACTAACACAGGCTGAATGAATAATTGAAACCGTAAATGCCCAGTGCCTAGACATCTTAATGTTTAGATGAAGCCTTAGTTATGAAATCGGAGGCGAAGTCGACAATCTGTCCTGTTCTCTCAGTGCTGTTCTCCAAATCGAAATGGCCAGCGCCATCGATAAGACGATACTCTGCTGAGGGGCCGAGCTTGTGGACATACGAAGCTAACTGTGACACTCCCGTCCAGCAGTCCTCTGTGCCTGAAGCCGACGAGAAAATGACGATCGTCTATGTGATGCAGATGGTGATACCCATGATGAAGAGCTTTGGACCAGTAAACTTTTCCAGCTTAGAAATGTGACTACCGAATAACATTCGCGCCATGTAACCGAAAGTGTAGCCAATGCAAATAAGTGCCACACAGTTGTCGACCAGCGAAGCCGCACTGCCTGCTATTGCAGCACCCGCAGATGACCCGAGCAG